TGTAGGAAAACTCTAAAAATTAAGTGTCTAGCACTCCTCTGGAGATGGATAATGGGAAAAAAAGGCAGAGAGCAAACCACTGTCATGTGGTTTTTACAGATGCTCATTTTTAGTTCTTCTGTCTCCCAGGCCTTGTTTCCTCTGACAAGGAGAGTGCATCCTACGTGCTCAAGAAGCCAGGGGGTGGAAACATGCTGGCCATCATCGTCGGTGGGGCACAGGAGGCTCTGGATGCCCGGCCGGGATCCTGCACCCTGCTGCTGAAGAATAGGAAAGGATTTGTCCGCTTGGCCATCGAGCATGGGTGATGCAGGGGATGGGGTCAAGGGATGCTCTGGTCTGTGGTTGGTCTTTGTTTTTGGAGAAGGTGGGGGGGGAAAGCATTTTGGGGTGGGCTTTGCTAACCTTCACGCCCCTTTGTTGGGTTGCAGCACCCCGCTGGTCCCCGTCTTTTCCTTTGGGGAGAATGACCTCTTTGATCAGGTGAGAACCCCCAAGGGCTCTTGGCTGCGGCAGCTCCAGCACCGGCTCCAGAAGATTATGGGCATCTCCCTTCCCCTCTTCCACGCACGAGGGATCTTCCAATACAACTTTGGGCTGCTACCTTACCGACGGCCCATCTGGACAGTGGGTGAGTCCTTCCTTGGCAAGGTCAATCCAGCAAAAGGAGGCACCAGGGACTGTCCCTGAGTTGTGTTACCCTGATAGGCACTCAGTTAACCATGTCAAGAAGGCCAATGGCATCCTAGGCTGCATTAAGAAGAGTGTGGCCTGTAGGCTAAGGGAGGTCATCCTCCCCCTCTTCTCTGCTCTGGTGAGCCCACATCTGGATACTATGCCCAGTTCTGGGCTCCCCAGTTCAAGAGGGACAGGGAACTGGTGGAGAGAGTCCAGCAGGGGGCAATGAAGATGACTGAGAGGCAGGAGCATCTCTCTTAAAAGGAAGGGTTGAGAGAGCTGGGACTGTTTAGCCTGGAGAAGAGAAGGCTGAGAGGAGACCTTATCAATGTCTATAAACATCTAAAGGGTGGGTGCAGGGAGGATGGAGCTGGACTCTTTCCAGTGGTGCCCAGTGACAGGACAGGAGGCAACAGGCACAAGCTGGCACACAGGGATTTCGATTTCAATATGAAGAACTTTCCTGTGAGGGTGACAGAGCCCTGGCACAGGGTGCCCAGGGAGGTTGTGGCATCTCCATCTTTGGAGACTTTCAAAAACAGCCTGGATGCCATCCTGTGTGATGTGCACTGAGCAATCCTGCTGTAGCAGGGGGCTTGAGCTAGATGATCTCTAGAGGTCCATTCCAACTCCAAGTGATTCTGTGATTCTGCCAGGCTGGAGCATCATGCCAGAGAGCACGAGCTGTGGCAGACTAGAAAACTGCTGGTAAAGGAACATCTCCAGCTGCTGCTGTGTCACATCAGTTTGGGACTCTGTCTTGGTGTTGTGACAAAGACCAGGTCCTCTGGGAAAGCCGCAGAACAAACATGGCCACCCCATCACCACTGAAGGGTGCAGCCAACCCCAATCCCAGTGCAACCTGGTGACAGGAACAACTGCAAAAGCATTGGGTTAAACTTCTTCCAAGCCAATTTTAGAAACAAGTAGGACAGCACCTAGTTGGCAGATTTGTTCATTGAGCTGTTGCAGACCCAGCCATGAGCCCCAGCCTATGGAAATGGGCTCAAGTTGCATGAGGGGAGGATTAGATTGGATACTGGGAAAAAACTCTTTGCTGAAAGAGTGGTGAGGCATTGGAATAGGCTGCTTGGGGAAGTGGTGGAGTCCTCATTCCTGGTGGTGTTCAAAAAATGTGTAGGTATGTCACTTTAGGACGTGGTTTAGTGGTCATAGTGATGTTGGACTTAACAATCTTAGATGTCTTTTCCAACCTTAACCATAGAATCATAGAATCTTTAGATCACAGAACTGTAGAATCATTCAAGTTGGAAAAGACCCCTGGGATCATCGAGTCCAACCACTGACCCTACTCCACAGAGCTCACCCCTAAACCATCTCCCCCAACCCCACATCTCAACGACCTTGAAACACCTCCAGGGGTGGGGACTCAACCCCCTCCCTGGGCAGCCTGTGCCAAGCTCTGATGGCTCTTGATGGGAAAACATTTTCCTGCTGCCCAGTGTGACCCTGCCCTGGTGCAGTTTGCAGCCATTCCCTCTGGTTCTGTCGCTCATTCCCCGGGAGAAGAGACCAGCCCCAACCTCTCCACAAAGTCCTGTCAGGCAGTTGCAGAGAGGGATGAGGGCTCCCCTCAGCCTCCTCTTCTTCATACTCAACAGCTCCAGCTCCTTCAATCACTCTTCAATTCTATTTGCACATGAACAAGGCAAGTCATTTTAAGCAGAGACCATGCCCATGGAAGACAAAATTTCAAGGAAGTCTTTGATTTTGAAGAAACATTCCCTGGTTTCAACAAGCCTGTACTTGGTGCACCAGCAGGGCTGATGCTGTGTGAATTAATCTAATTAAAGAGGCTGTTTGGAAAGGTCAGAGCTCACCACACTGATCAGGTTTGACAGCCAGCAATTACTTTTAATTGTTTTACAGCCTGTTTGGATTGTCTCAATGGTTTTATGAGCTGTGCAGTATCACAAGGGCTCTTCATTAATCTGATGAGGAGTGGTGTTACATGATGATGAAACCCACTATCACTTGACAAACACAATCTGAGTAAGAGACCAGAGCAAAGGAGGCACCTCATGAACTTCCCTGTCCCATGTAGGCACCTGGTCCTGCTGCTGGTGGCTCCGGGAGATGGGAAGGGGCTTCTTCTAGTGCTAGGAATGAGATTGATTAGTTTGCCTTTGGAAAAAGCATGACCATTATAAAGACAAGTGGGTACTTAATTCCTAAAAAAAAAATTAGGTGTTTCACAGATATTTAATCTGAGCAAAGTGGGAGCCCCCAATCACTAGTGTATTTAGATATTCTTGGGCTTGTCTGTGCCTCAGTTTCTCCATTTGCAATGTAGATTCCCAGGGGCATGTGGGAACAGCTTGGAAAGCCCAACCTAAATGTTAGGATGATGTTGTCTTTATCTGCAGCACTCCTGAGATATTAAGAGCAGCTGTAGGGGATGCATTGGGATGCAGAACTTTTTACCTCAAAGAGCTACACAGAGGATCTTTAAAGAACTTTGCAGATGGGGAAACTGAGGCAAGGATAGATGTGACCCTGGAGACCAACAGCAGAGACAGGATCTGAGCCTTTACCTCCCTCCCTCCTTGGTTGTGGTACCTCCCAGATTCCAGGACATGACTGGTCGTATTGATCTGTCCACCTCATCCTTGAAGAGGTGGACTCCAGCTCTGTGCTAAGATGTGCAAATGTTCACAGGGACCTGACACTGGCTCCCCTAATGCCCTTGCTTGTTTTTTCCAGTTGGAAAGCCAATTCCAGTGCAGAGGAAGCACAGACCTTCTGAGGAAGAGGTTGATCGAGTCCATCAGAAATACCTAAATGAGTTGTGCAAGCTCTTCGAGGAGCACAAAGCTAAATACAACATCCCAGAAGACAGACACCTGGAATTTATATAGAGCTCCTTGGGCAAGGTGAAACGATGGAGCTCTAAGTTTTTCCCTGTCTCTGGAAGTATTTCACAGCCTCAGCTTAGTCACAGTTAACATCCAGTCTGTACAGCGTAGGGAGAAGGACTTGATTTTCCCAGCATTTGATGAGTATGGGGTCGGAGTTTTCATATTTTCTCCCTGGAGGACACATAAAATATACAAAGAAGAAGAAAAAAAAACAACAAAAAATCATATCGGTGGTCAGCATTATCAAACCTCCCTAGCAGAAAACTCACATTTCCAGTCTGTCTTGGAGGCTGTTTCTTCAGGATATCTCCAGGCAGATATGAATTATTGAAAGTGTCCTTTGCATTATTTTCATTTGTAAACAGGTTGATGACCCATAATTTCTGCTGAATGCATTTTTTTAAAAAAATATAATTTGGCTAGATCAACATATTATCATTGTCTGCTTGGTACTTTTTGTGTCTTTAATAGCTCTGGGTTCTTTTTTTGTCACTCAAAACTCAATTTATCAGAAAGTTCATAATTCCAGTGCCGTGCCTGGTACCCTCGGCAGTGACACGATGCCATAACCCACAGAGGTGAAAGGAAGAAAACATTTATAAACGGCACGGGCTCATCAAGAGGATTTACCCTACATGGGCTCCAAGAATCCTGTTTATAATTTTATTAATTTAACCCCTGTACGGGCTCACCTTGGACAAGTCACCGGCATGGTCATTGTGCACTTCATTTCCCAAACGAGGCCATTTCTGAAGAAGAGAGCACGGCTGGGAGATGGGAGAAGGGAGAAGAGATTTGGGACAGGAAATATGGCTCGTAAAGCCCCGTTTGGCAGGTGATCAAGGCTTTAAATAGCTTCTTCTTCTTGATATCCAGAAGTTTATTAAACTCTGTGCTTAATGGGATTTTGCAACGGGGAAGTTTTCGGTGGCAGGGAGCCAGCTGCTCAGATCAGCTTTACATCGTCCCTGTAGAACCCTTACACCATCACCTTCTCCTCTCTTTCCTTTCATTTCTCTTTTTCTTCCCCATGTCCCATTCTCCACCTGCAAAGAGTCCGGAAAAATCCTGCAGAGCACGTGCACTTCATTGCACCCATGATTTTTGTTACCGCAGCTGCAAGGATTGCATTTAACGAGGAAAACACCCAGGACTATTTCTCAAGTGATAGTGCCAGAGCCGTCATTGTGTTTTGTTTTCTTTTCTCTTTCCTTCTGCCTTGATGAAATTACTCCCCCTCCAAAAAATCTGAATGTCCTGATGTAAATCCCTCATATTCCCAGAAAACAAGCAGCATCAGGGAAGAATTTGGTGGATCTTACCAACATTTCTAAACACTCTCGTAATCCTACACTTAATCCAGTCAAATAAAGCAAGTCACCTGCTATGATTTCTTGCTCACTTTCTATTAATAGGTATTTTCTTTTGCCCTTAATTAAGGAGAGAGATGCCTAAGTAGGAGGAAGATTTATGCACTAGGAAAATAAAAATAATTCTCTCCTACCTTTTTCTTTTGATGGTCATCGCTGTTCAAGCTTTACTCTAATCCCAGTTGTTTTTTCCTGACCTTTCCTCTGCTGTCACTGCTGTTGGCCATGACACCCACAGATTCAAAACCCGTCTGAACGCGTTCCTGTGCGACCTACTCGAAGTGATCCTGCTCTGCACAGGGTGCTGTGGGGATGGAAGAGGTCTCCAGGGGTGAGGACGAGGATCTGAGATCTTGATGCAATGGGAAAAGGAGCAAAGGCGGCTGATGTTGGGGTAGGAATCAGCAGCGTGCAAGGGAGAGGATTTGGGGAGGTGTTAGATGGGTGGCTGGATGTGGTGACATTCGTAGAATCATAGAATCATGAAGGTTGGAGATGACCTTTAAGATCAACAAGTCCAACCTACAGCCCTACACCACCCTAACACTAAACCATCTCCTGATCGTGGGGATGTAGGGAACAGAAAGGGAGCAGGATGCAAGGTTCAGTCCATGGCACGGACAAGGATGGCAAGTGTTGGTACAAGCAAGAGGCGCTGGATCTGCAGGAGCGTCATGACTGTGCCCCAACCTGATGGAGAAGCTTCATTAGAGAAAGTTTGCTCCCCAGTTGTCCATGGAGTCCTCAGTCTTCCCCTTTGGGGACCTGGCTATGCCTCCTATGCCAGAGACACACCTACTTGGGAGGTGGGATGGTTCATCAACTTGCTGACCAGGGCTGCCAATCCTGAAAGAGAGAAAAGGCAGAAAGTGGCTGGTGAGGAAGAAAATCCCCGGGGGGGAAAAGGAGGAGGACACAGAGCTGTCTGAGAGCTGATGGGATGGTCAGGGGCATGCAAGACCCAAAGGCAAAGGAAGACCATAGGGCTGGGGAAGAGGGGTCAGAGGAGTGTGTTGGCTATATATAGTTGGCTTCCTTCAAGGTCAGTTTTATCTCAGACTGGAACGTGTCCTTGATCCCTCTGGGACCTATATAACCCGGGAGAGGTCAGTGCCTGGGCTTGTGTTAGGTATGACATCAAGAATAATAATTCCTGAGGGTCCTTGCAGCCCGGGCTGTTGAGGGGGGGCACTCAGCACGATGAGAGGTCTCACTTTCCCAAGAGGCCAGAGCTGTCTCTGAGTGAAACGCCGTAAGACAAGAAGCTTTTGTGCTATTTCAGCCTCACACGAAGCTGTCTGTGGAGGATTAAAACTCCTCTGATGCAACGCAAGGCAGGAGAAACCTCAAGAAAAGAGTGCCTGGATCAGCCCATCAAACCAAACTACGTTTGCCTTTGGACTCTGCAGCTCGCTGGAGAGGCACAAGTGCTAGGACTGAGGGATGTCCAAGCTGTCACCTCAAAAGAAGGACCATTTAAAGCTAAAATGACACAGTATGTTTCTTTCCAGCATGTCCACTCTCTACTTCTGCAACTGGCTTTGATTTAAGCAAAAAAGCTTGAAGACAAGTGATAAATTCAGTGCCTGTCTCACAGATACTTCAAATTTGAGCCTTTTTTAGGAAATTCCAAATTGGAAAAATGCAGTAAAAAATATACAAGTGTAGAGATCCCGTATTCCCCTCCTGCCTGTCTCTTCCTTCATGATCTCTCCAGTGCTTCTGTTGCGAGAGGCTCTAATCTGGATTTGCCTTACTTAGTGGGTTCAGATCATGAGGCTCAAAAGAAAACCTCCGACAACTGATGGACGCAAAATACGGACTAATTCCACAAGAGGAGAAAAGCCAAGCAAAATGTGCCTTTTTTTTTTTTTTCCCTTCTGTAGATCTAGTCCTGTGAAATTGTTTTACTGCCCTGGGAATGGGGTTAAAAGGTTGCTTGCTGTTGTGGCAAACAACTAGAAAAACGTTTTTGGTTTCTGTTCAGAGAAAGATTTCCTGCTTTTAATTCAATAAAGACCCAAACTGTGGTATGTTAAACATCCATCCCTCACACCGCAGAGCCTTTCCCATTTCAAGAAAGGAAATCAAATTGCAAACCCATCTGAAACCCATCACATTGCTTTCAAAACCATTTAAAAGTCAATCAAAACCACGCGTCTCCCCAGGAACGTGGACGCCTTTTTTTGAGGGTAATCCTTTAGTTCTGTCTGATTTGAAGCCGATGAGATGCTTTTCTGCATCTCCCATCGCCCGAGCTCCTCTCTTGACACAGCATTTCTAGGACAAACCATCTGATACTGGATTTTTGCATGCCCCCTTGTTCAGGTAATAAAAAGCCACCAGTGGAGAAATAAACTGCAGTGACCACTGTGCTGCATGAGGCAGCAGTTTATGTAGGATTTAAAGAAATACTGGGTATGGTTCATGCATTTTTAATATTATCTGTTCTTACTCCTGCCCACGTCCTGTTCCCAGCCCACTCAGAGATGCTGAGCTCTAAACTCTGTGCTAGCAACCTCCTCAGTCACCACATCTCTGGGGCATGGAGGTGGGTCTCATGTGCTTCAAAACGCAGCGTGTGCTTGTCAGGAGGGAAAACATCTGTAAAATCAGGTACTCATGAGCCAGCATTTTGGATGTCAAGGTACAAGATAACACCTGTGAGTTAAACGGGTTGGTTATTAGATTGCATGAGGCCAGCCAAGAGCAGCCCGAACGTGTTTTCAATGAGCAACTCAAGATGTATTGAGAATTATTTACAGAAAGCGCTATGGAAATGGTTTGAAAGCACTATGGAAATGGTTTGAAAGCACTATGGAAATGGTTTGAAAGCACTATGGAAATGGTTTGAAAGCGCTATGGAAAAGGTTTAAAACCACACAGATTTGTGCAACGCTTGCAGAAGATGCATACGCAGAAAACGGTGCATGTGCAGAAAATTGGGCATGCACGGGAAAAAAAAAAGTATGCATAGGGGAAAGAAAAAAAGCAGCACCATCAGCAAACACAGAACTTGGTTGCTCATTGCAGACGAGTGATTCATGGCCGGGGGTACGTGTGGGTGCTGGAGGAATTCACCTCCACATCACGGAGAACTTTGAACCTCGAGAACAACGCTGCATTGCCAAGGGCAATGTAAACAACGCTGTAGGATCCTTCCACCGAGGAGAGAGCATAAGGTCAGGATTTTCAGAAGTGTTTACCAAGCGCTTAGCTTCTACTTTCTGAACAGGAGATCCGTTAAGCCGCCGCATGTCAGGATCGCCTCTCAAAGCTAAGCACCTTGTTTTACTCAGCAGCAGCCCAAAACCTTGACTGGAGAGGCTCGGTGTCACTACGTGCTCACTCGCTGGAGTCACGGTGTGGCCCTCAGGCGAGAGGATGAGCTGGGCTATGGGTTTTTCCATGCTGTGTTTTATGTCAGTCCCATGACATTACCTACAAATCCCACTGTGTGTCTTGCTTCCAAGAACTGCCAAGCACTTCACAAGTGAATACAACCCATCATTGCCAAAGAGGTGGAGTGGGAGCTCCTTTAACCCCTTGGTTGATGCTGGCCTGCTGTGAGCCCGTGACGACAAACATCACAAGGCCAGAAAGCAAAAATAAGCACAACTCTGCAGCCCA